CCCTGAATCCTGAGCCTTAAACCCTAGAGTTTGAACCCTCCCCTCAAACCTTGAACCAAAGAGCGCTGAGGCCTTGAGTAGCTGTGAGAAAGCCAAAGACTGGACCTGGGCCCTGCAGCTGATGCAAGGCGGGGGGAGGGTTCGGGTCTGAACAGCCATCCATTCTCTTTAGCTTTAGTGTGTAAGGCTTTAGAGAGTTTTTTTTGGTAAGTAAAATGTGGGGAGTTCTTATATGAACGCAGGAGTTATTTGTTTTGTTTGTTGAGGTTTTTATACTAAGGATCCTTTGGCTCAACGCTTTCATTGGGGTCCCCTGCTTTTTTCTGAGATTCCCACAGGTCTCCGGAAGAGCAAGTGGGCGAATGTCGTGAGTTATGGGGCAGTCATCAGCGCTTGCGCAGGTTCTGCGAAGTGGGAAGTAGCACTGCATCTGCTTGAGCTGCTGGGGGAGCAGCAGCTGCAGCCCACGATTACCACCTGCAATGCTGCCATGACTGCCTGCGAGAAGGCAGGGCAGTGGTGTCGCGCTCTCCATTTCCTCGAAGACCTGCAGGGATGGCGGTTGATGGAGGATGACGTTAGCTACGGGGCGGTGATCAGTGCCTGTGCAGCAGGATCAGAGTGGGAGATTGCCCAAGCTCTTCTGAACTCCATGCAGTCGAGACGGATTAGAGCAAGCATCATCACGAGGAATGCTGCAATCAGTGCCTGTGAGAAGGCAGGGGCTTGGCAACAGGCCTTTCGGCTTCTACAGAGCGCCGAGGATAGCGGCCAAAAGACCACAGAAGCACGCAGATCTCACACCTATGTTTTTTGTCGAAAGTCACCCTTGCTATGTATACCTTATCCTCAGACCCCTCCCTATGTATGCTAGATGTGTCGGAGTTATGATTACTTGCGGTACAGCTCCCATACAACTACGATACTCAAGCTTACAAAAGATCGACCCCAGTCCCTCGTTCTACTCCTCAGGCCCCCTACACTCTGTGCATTTTATGCCCCCCTGTGGAAGAGGAGTCATTCCTGGAAGTGACAGTGATCACCTACAGCGCGGTGATGAGTGCTTGCGAGCCCGGGAGTCGAGAGTAGTATTAGGAACCTGGGTAGTTTGAATTGAGCTCAGGGTTCATTATAGGGGCTAATACGTAATTGGGTGTTGGGTGTCGAGTGTATATAATATACTGTTGCAGGTATTGAGGGACTATGGTAAGGTTTGGCTTTCGCAAGATAATCCGAAAGTTGAGGTTGCTTTTGTATATTGGGTTTGTGCAAGGATAGGCATCCGAGCGCCTAAGGAGAAGGCTGGCGAATGGCAGCATGCCCTTGCCCTGCTCCAGCGGCTACAACGAAGTCAGGCCTTTGGCTGCCCACCTCCTTGCGTTAGAGGGTCAGGGGCCGGAGTCAGCTGGGCCATATGTAACCCTAAACCCTCAACTCTAAACCCTAAACCGTGGCTCTTATAAGTATCCCTAAACCCCTTATCTCGACACCTCAGAAGGTAAGCGTAGATATACTATACTCACTTAAAGCCCCACGTGCCACGCCCCCCGACCCCGAGCGCCCGTAGCCCGAAGAGCCGAAACCCAAGAAGCTCCAAAAGGGTAAACCCTAAACCCTAAACCGTGCTTAGGGTTTAGGGTTTAGGGTTTAGGGGTAGTATATAACATTGATAACAAAGCGAATAACAATAATAACAAAAATTGGAGTAGCAATAATAATAACAACACTAATCAACAGTAGCCAGCTACAATATGTAATATGTTTTTTTTTTTTTAACGGCCCTCTCTCCGAAGCCGCAGGTGGAGGCGGCAGCGATAACGTACAACGCCGCCATCAGCGCGTGCGAAAAGGGCCGAGTCTGGCCCGTCGCAGGCTTCTGGGCTTAGTATTAGGGTTTAGGGTTTAGGGTTTAGGGTTTAGGGTTTAGGAGTAGGTAGCCTTTAGCCTTTTTGGAGCACTATAATCCCTACCTTAAACTACCAAACCCTACTTTTTTGTAGGTTGTTATTATAAACCCTAATATGGAATTTATAGGGACCCTACAGAAAAGTAGGTTTTGGTAGGTTAAGGTATATAGACAACATAATCCAAGAGATGAGGCTTTAGTTCCCCTCGATACTGGACAGGTAGGTCACAGCAGTTCTCTAAACGTCCGCAGTCTTGGGTTTGGGGCTCCATTGAATTGGGTGTTTTGGTTTAGGGGTTCTCTGCGGGTAAGGTCTGTTTGCCGACGCCAAACGGCCTGTGTCACTCTTCTAGGCAAGCCCGAAGGGTCTGTTTGAGAGAACCACCTGTTTTTTGTCGACGAAAGGTATAGGCGCAAAGCTGGATATAGTATCATCTTTACACGGTGCCCCGCAAACGGATAATTGGAAGCAAGCCCCTTCAAACCGTCAACCCTAAAGAGTTCTGAATCCCCAAGCCGAAATCCCAAATCCTAACCACCCCAGCAGTCCCTGGCACCTAATCCTAAGTCCCAAATCCGAACTTCCTGACCCCAAGCCTAAATCCCAATTCATTAAGCCCTGCTGTAATCTTAAGCGCCCTACTACAGGCCTTGTTGCGATGACCCAGACAGGCCTCAGAGAAAGTTGAGACGAGGAGTTCAACACACCCGAAGCGTGAGATCCGCGGTTGGTACACTGCCTCAACGACTTCCTGTTTGGGGTGTAGGGCTTTGGCCTAGAGGCTGCTAGGATTTCGGGGGCTCGGGCATGTAGTGCACGTGCTCAGCCACGCGCCCGAATTAGGTTTGCATCCACTACACCGCTAATTATACTGTAGGCCCTGTGCCCTTGTGCAACGAGGTTCATGCTAGGATTTCTCTAGATTCTATTGGACTTCTTTTTATCATCTTGTAAGTGATGTGTATCATCTTACCGTAATTGAGTTCTTTCTGGGGAGAGACCGGACACAACTTCCTAAAAACTAAAACTAGGTTCCTGAGTAGTACCCTTTTGCCCTTTTTAGTTTGGGGTCTCCTTATTAAAACCGAATACTAGGAAAAAGGGTACCCTTATTATTTAGGGGTCACTCAGGAACCTAAAAACCCCAAACCCTAAACCCTAAACCCTAAAAGCTCTAAAGTCCAGAGAGCGGAGGCCTCCTTTTGATGGAGCTTCAGCGGGCAAGCCTCCGGGCGACCACTATCAGCTACAATGCTGCCGCCAGGCTGCTCTTTAAGGTGTCGGGTTGAGGGTCTAGGTTAGGATTAGGGTTTAGGGTTTAGGGTTTAGGGTTTAGGGTTTAGGGTTGAGGGTGTAGGGTTTAGGATTAGGGTTTAGGGTTTAAGGAATATTCCGGAGATGCAGCTGCTTGAAAGTTCATGGAAAGCAGGCTCACATAGATCCATTAAGCCTTGCTTGAGGCTAACCACTTGCAACTACAATTTATTGCCTCGCTGTGGAATTGCACAACGAGTAGGGTAGACACTAGGTTTTGAGTTGGTAGATAGTGGATGCTGTAATATTTTGCTTCGATCGTCGGTATGCTGTAAACAGCATAGACGTAAGCCTACTTGACATGAACCTTCATCCAAGCCTGACGCGGCTCCAAGATGGCAAAGGCCAGCATCACTGCTGCGTAAGATGCCAACGTTGCTCAGCGGTTGCCGCCTCCTAGGAGGCGGATCCCGAACCGTTCAGACCCTGATTCATTCGCAAATCCTCAAGCCTCGCAAACCCCAAACCCTACCTGGACCCTGAAGAACCTACCCTTGTTAGGGCTCCTTAACAGGATTTTCCTTACATAAGTCCTTCAACAGGTAGATTCTTTGGGGGTTACCTTTAGGGTCATACCCTACCCCTTTTTTGAGGTACCTAGTTTTGTGGTTAGGAACTGCTGTATACCTACCCTAAAAAAGGGGGTAGGGTATGACCCTAAACCCTAAACCCTAAACCCCTAAACCCTAACACCTAAGGTAAACTGTAAGTCCGACCCTTCCATGCCAAGGCACTGAGTAGCTGCGGCAAGGGCACTGCCTGGAGCATGGCCTTGCAGGCTCGTACGGCGTAGAATAGGGGGTTTAGGGTTTCGGGGTTTAGGGTTTAGGGGTGTAGGGGTTTAGTTGATCCTGTTGCAGCCTCCGGTGCTCCCAGAGGACACTTAGGGTTTAGGGTTTAGGGTTTCGGGGTTTATGTTTTAGGGTTTGGGGGTTTAGGGGTTTAGGGGTTTAGAGGTTTAGCGTTTAGGGGTTTAGGGGTTTAGGGGTTTAGGGCTTGAGGGTTTTAGGGTTTAGGGCTTCGAATATTGGAAATGCCGCCCCCTTAAAAGCCCCTCCTTATGCTACAGGCATGTAGTAATAGCGTAACTGATAAGGGTTTTGGGTGCAATGTTCAGGGTTGGAGGCCCTGGCTTGGTTCTGGATATGATTTCGGTACCCTAGAATTTTAGGGTTTACGGTTTAGGGTTTTTTGTTTCTGGCGTTATGTTCGTGTTCGGTAGGGTTTCCTTCGGGTTCTGCAGGGTGGTGTGTTGTTGTTTTGCCAAAATCCGAAGCACCACTGACTAATCACCGGCCGTCTTGAAGATCCCGTAGATTGTCATCCCTTAGGGTTCAGAGGTTTAGGCTTCAGGGGCTTTGGGTTTAGAGTTTAGGGTTTAGGATTTAGAATTTAGGGTTTAGGTATGAGGGCTTAGGGTTTAGAGTTTTCAGGACTTGGGGGGGAGGGTGTCAATTATCCGAGGTCTACAGTAAACAAGCTAGAAACCTTCGCTAGATGGGTAGCTCTCTGAATTGTGGCCCCTTTCTTAGGTCCCCAGAATAGTACGGCAACCTTATATAGAGGACCCTAAAAAGGGACCCCCAATTTAGATAGCTACCTAAACCCTAAACCCTAAACCCTACCCAGATCCTGAATACCAGAACCTGTCGCACTGGCCTAGGAGACTAGCAAGGTCTAGGACTTACGATTTAGGGGTTTAGGGTATATGGGTTTAGAGGTTTAGGAATTTAGGGGTTTAGGGGTTTAGGGGTTTAGGAGTTTAGGGGTTTAGGGGTTTAGAGGTTTAGGGTATAGGGGTTCGGGTGTTTTTTTAAGCAACTACGACGCCTAAACCCTGAAGGCCCTGAAGCTTTAAGCATAGGCTCTTCAGATGACCACTACCCTCTAGTATGCTATCTCTTCTACATTGCAGAGTCCGATGTATTCTGCAGCCTTATAGGACATCCCTTAAACTCTGGACTGTGCGTCGGGCTGTCTCCGCATAATTCGTGCTCTGCCCTCCGTACCCTTGTGGCAGTCCTCAGGCCAGCACAAGGCACCACTAAGCCGCCACCCTCTTAAAACTAAACTTTAAACAAAAAACGACACTCTAGACCCTAAACTCCCGCATCCTACTTGACCCCAAGGGGCGAGTGTATGTCTAGAACGAATCAATCGGTACGCTTCACTTCCAGGCGCATGTTAGGAAGCCAGTTCCTTTTGAGAAGCACGTGTGACGCCTGAACTACTGGCGAAGCTGCTAGTATCAATTGAATTTAGACAACCTTGATGAGGCATTAGGGTGATCACTGAACGCTAAGTGATGTTGTTCACTTGGAGGCTCGGGTTGGTAGTAGTGCGGGCATTTGGAAGTTGTGTTTTTTCAGCTTGCGGCTTGTAGGGTTTAGGGTTTCGGGGTTCGGGGTTTGGTATTTGTTTGGGAATTTCTCTAAATTAGGATATCCTTGTTAGATCCCAAAAATTATATGGTAGCCCTAATAAAAAGAAAGACCCTAAAGAAACCTTATTCTAGAGAAGAGCTACCCATACACTACCTTATTCGACCCTTTTAAGGAACCCTAAGAAGGGAACCTAATTCAACAAACTACCCATATGAGGCTAGATTTAAAGAACCTTAAGAAGGGAACCAAACTAGTTTAGAGAACTGCCCATATGAGGCTAGCTTTAAGGATCCTTGATTAGTTTAGAGAACTAGCTAAAGTCTCCATTGTAGTTCCTTTTTGGGGTTATCTGACAGGATCCTAAATATATATTTGGCTAAACCAAAAAAAGGAACTACAATGGAGACTATAGGTAGCCCTGAAAGCCCGAAATCCGTAACCCCTACCCCAAAAAGGAACTACTTTAGGGCCTATGGGTAGCCATATCCTAAACCCTAAACCCTAAACCCTAAACCCTAAACCCTAAACCCTAAACTCCCTAAAACCCCTACCCCCTATCGGATCACTGGGAGTCAGGTCTTCGCTGCGTCGCAGGCCGCCCAGGTATCCGCCGCCTCTTGGGCCGAACGAAGTCCGGAAGCTTCGGGGCCTTGAGGCGTTTAGGATTTTAGGATTTTAGGGTTTGGG